TAATTTTCGCATGATTTTAGCCAACAAATTTTTAATTATTAATTTAATTAAGATTATTTATTCAAATATTTTTAACTACTTTTTAAGATTATATTTTTAAAATTTGATGATATAATTAATTATGTCGTATATTTCACACATTTTATGATATGTATTTTTATAATCAAACATATTTTTTCATCTATATTTTTCTTAAATATAAATTATAATTTTCAAAAAATATTCTAAAGTATATAACTAATATTAAATCTGTTTGCATATTTTTAATTTCGAATTTAATTGTCCATTTTTTATGGTAACAAAATTAAAATGATTTTCATAAATACAGATAGTTTTTGTTTTTTTTTTAATTTATTTAATCTATTTCTTTGCTGTCTTTTAGTGTGTTTGGCTATAGGTTTGAAATTGTATATTTTGTAATATTTTTTTTTCAAGTTTGTTTGGCTATAAAGACAAATAATGATCCCCAATTAATAGTATAGATACTATGATCACTTTATACAAAATGCTTCCCTTTTAATAGTATATATATAGTTTTTGAAAATATTAAAAAAATAATTTAGATTAAATATGTTTAATTTCGAATTTAATTGAATATTTTTATGGTAATCAAATCAATATTATTTCCATAAATATAGATAGATTTGTTTTTTTAATTATCCTTTTAATTGTATATACTATGATCACTTTATACAAAATGCTTCCCTTTTAATAGTATAGATAATACATATATTAATAAAACATGTAATTTATTCACAAAAACACATGTAATTTAATAAAAAATATTTTCTTTTTTATATTTACGATTTCTTAATAAAAATATATATTCCAATTTTAACTTTATTAGTTTATATTAATTATTAATGCATAAATGACCTAGAATTTATTTAATTTTTATTGAAGATAAACACTTGTTAGTAATATTTCATTGTATCATAATTTTATATATTTAATTCAAAATATATATTTTATAATGGTTAAAATCTACCCTAACATTTTGCCGGATGCCGTTTTATACCTAAACTTTGATAGATAGTCTTTTTTTTCACTCAATCGCAAATATTTAAATTTGCAACTTAAACTTATAAATATTAGACAAAAAACCAACATTGACCTTGATTATTTTAGTCAATAGCTAATAATATTTCTTACCTGAATATTGTGATTTGCTGCTTATTCTTTTTCATTGTTGACATTAGTTGACAGCTGACTGAAATTGTTAAAATTCAATGTTGGTTATGATCTATAATATTTACAAGTTTTGGTTGCAAATTTGAAAATTTAATGAGTTCGGGTGAGAAATTAAATGACTATCAGTTAAAGTTTAGGTATGAAAAAGTATCCAACATGTAGTTTAGGTTTGATTTTGGCCATTTTCCTGGAGTAAGAAGTGGAGACTATTTGGTCTGCCTTCATAAAAAGAAAACGATTAACTTTTTAGGAGTACTATAATCAATAATTTTGTATTTTGAGAATTGAGACGGAAGTACATGACGTGGAAACTCATTATAGAGTGATTACCAAAAAAAATATATATATGTGGAAGCTGATGTGGCAGCTGATGTGGCAGCTTAAGGTTTATAATGTTGATGTGTATGGTTTTAGCCTTTTAGGGCAGCTTAAAGTTTATAATTTTGATGTGTATGGTTTTAGGAGCCTTTTAATGAACTCCTTTTGTTAGTAACTATTTGCTTTATCATTAGTCTAGTTAGAAATTGTTAGATAATTGTAGTCTAAATATAGTATATTTATGTTACATAAATATAAATTATTATCACTATACTACGCAACTAATATTCTGCTTCAATGATTTAAAAAAAAATATATATATTCTGCTTCAAATATTTATTATTTGGCTATAGAAAATATTGTACTAAAACAACATGAGAATTTTTTAGAAATATACTTTTTGGTATACCCCTATTCAAAAATATCCCTTTTATCTATCTATTTATAATAAAACCCCAGTTTAAATAAGAAAATTATAAAGTTTTCTATGGTTTAGAAAGTACTTTTAGATAATAACTAAAGCTCGGAGATTTAATCCAAATAAATTATAAGATTTTAAATAGTTTTTCAATATTTAAAAGGTTTTATAAGGTATTTATACATTATTTATGAAAGATATATAATTTTTACACACATATAAAGGTAATTTGTGTGTATATTTATAAGCCTACACACATATTTGGATAAATTCAACATTTTAGTGGCTTTTCTGATAAAGTTTGAAAAGGGTATTTTTAAGAAGTGGTATTTGAAAAGATATTTTTAGAATTCTCCCTTAAAACATTTTTATATGATTATAATTGGTTGTTTTTTTTATCTAATATGTTTTTAATATAGATTATAAGGTTTATATTTTTAGTTGTTGTTATATTGGATATTAGTAATTTTATATCAAAGTTCTTTTCTTAAATTTAAAAAGAATAATTTCCAAAACAAACCGGTTAACCGTCTAGTTCTAGTCAGCATATCTCTAAAATTTGGCAACAACAAAAAAAAACAATATATGATTTTACATAAATAAAAAATCTCAGATCTCTGATTCATAATCCAATGTTTTTAACATCACCGCAATGTAATCAAGATTGGTCTTTTGAGGTTAATAACTCTTCGATTTATATTTTATCTCTTGGTAAATTCTTAAATTAATTACCAATTTAAAATTAGCTTCATGACTAAAACCCACTATGTCTAGGTTTAAACGCATGGGTGTATCAGTTGTAGCTAAATTTTAGTTTGTTCCGATTATTAAATAATCCAATGAATCGTTTTCAAAATTTCCAAATTCTTCCAAAAACCAAATATAATTACTAAATTTCTGATTTGTGTGAAAATTTTACACAAACTAACATTTGTATCTTCTTATAATTGACGATTGACCTTTTGATAATATAATTTGTTGGTTTTTGAATCAAATGTACTTACAATATACATTTGTATTTTAACAAACATCTATAACATGTAAATTTTCCTATGTTAATTTAGGTGATGAATATAATTTTGGCAATCTATACATCACTACGTTACTTGCTAGTGAATCTATTGTCAATACTTGCAGATTAATTGTATTATGAATCTGTTCTCATTCATGTAATTCATTACATTGACATGAGATAAATATACAGTAGTGTATTCGATCAAATCAGGAAAAACGTATTTTTCCTGCTAGAAAGCGTA